TTGTGAACATAATTTAAATTTATCCTTTTAAACTTATTTGATAAGTTGTTCAATTTAGAATTCAAATTAATTTAAGTTTGACTTAAATTTGAATTTGAATTTGAATTAAAATTGGACTACATGATAAAGGATGATTTTCTCTTCCTTCCCTATCTGTAATTGGCACCACACAGGGATGAGAATCCCTACACAAGGGCCGGCCATATCAAGGATAAGGTAGAGGAGAATTTTTATTCAAAATTCAAATAGGAGAGAGATAGAAGTTGGACTTCTACTCTATAAATAAGATATGATGAAAAATTACGCGTGACAAATTTTTGACCTAACTTATTTGGGGCTGGCCAAAATTCCCAAGAGAGAGAAGGGAAAATTTTCTTCCCAAAAATTTCACATCGTGCATGCGTTGGTGCTTGTGGAAATTCGAGTGTTTGTTCCAACCCGATTTTGTCTCGAGTGTGCCCACACACACGTCTACGTAGATTCAAGGAATTGACGTGGAAGACTTTGGTTTTCTAAACACAAGGTTTTGAAGCAAGGATCGTTCGTGGTTAAAGAACTCAAGTTATCATCCGAGTCGGCCTCCAGGTATTTTTCCTAATTTAGTTCTTGATATATAAATTAATGTGATTAATTTATTCGTGCATAAATTAATATAATCTATAGAGTATCTCAAAAGTTTTATGAAAATTTTTGTTATACTTGATCCACCCTCCACCACGCTTTCGCATCCGAATTCGATTCGGTAACCAACAGTATGTTCTTAGTTTTTTCATTTTTTACCAATTTTTTATCTTTTATAAATTAAAGTATTTCTCCATTGTTCGGGACTGGTATGAAGCTTTCCAAAAAATAAAAATAAAAACATCATGGTCTATTCTCGGTCAAGTGTAGTCGGTTAGTGGTATTTTCCTGGTCTGGTCATTCTGTTCTTATTCTGGTTATTCTGTTTGTGGTCTTGTCTTGTTTTATATCATTTTTAATTATAAATTGATGGTTTTTTTTCATTTTTTTTATTTTTTAGTAACGCGTTTTTTTCTTTTAATGGTATATTCTTACACTTATGTGTTTTGTTCTAAAAATTAGGGTAGCATTTTCCCATAATTATTAGCTTCCCCAAAGGCAAAAAAACCTCTTGAATACATTTTACAAGCAAAACAATGCTTTTAATTATACCTTGTTTATATATTTTTTTATATAGAACTTACGGGCCTTCTACTTGTTCTTCTGCGAGTTCTTCTAACGGGATTTTACAGACAAGGTATTCGATAAATTTGTATGTGAAAAGTCTGCAGTCACTTGTTCTGAGGTTGTGAACTAACGACTTATGATGAAAGAATGGCCACACACTGTCAAGTTTATCGCCCAGATGGTTAAATAAACGTGTATACTTCAAGAACTTAGGCATCATGACAGAGATAGGCTCCACGTATTTTTGTATCTGTTGATCCCTGTACATCTTGTCATTGCAGTCATACACCTTTATGTTGATTTCAGATAAATCAACATAAAGGGCAACCCAATGCTTATCCTTAATGTTAAGGGGCATAGTGAAGCCTTGCGCGCCATCCCATTTCTTTCCAATTATGCGCTTTTGTCTACGGACATATTCATCCAGGTCGTTGTCAAATGTATACTCTGCCAATTTTGATTTGTTGGTGAAGAATCACCCTCTCAATTTCTAGCAGAATACATCGTCCAGGATGATAATATTGTTAATGAACTCTCATTCGTTGGCACTTGACCTTCTCATAGATAGATGACCTCATGCCTCGTCAATTTACTGTAAGTCATAAAAAAATAAATTCAGTATAATGATAATGGTATTAAAAATAGGACTGTAAATTTAGAAAATATGTTGTGATTACTAACTTCACTGTATAGCCATTCACCTGGCTTCAAGATGACCTGGAAGAAGTCCTTCTTCCAATCACCAAAATCGTACTCTATCAGCTCAGTCTGTATTTGTATCAGCGAACCACTTTTTGAAGGACTCAACAACATCTTTATAGGTCCACATCTTCTTCATCACCTTACGTAGGGGATCTGTGTAAGGCGACTCAAAATACTTGTTGGCCCTTTTAAGTCTTTTTTCATTCTTGGGTTCAGACTCTAGCTCTGACTGAACCTGTGGCTCAGGTTGTTCCTCTGGCCATAGCTAAATCTGTGACTCCGGTTGTTCCTCAGGCTCTGGTTGTGGCTGTAACTATTGTTTTACTATACGTGTCATGTTGTCCTTTATTTCTCTAACTAATTGGTCTAGTGAGTCTAACCTCTTTTTGATAACTTCAAAATATCTACCATTGTACTCTACCATCCTCTGATAGAGTATGTCAAGTATGTAATCAATAGACATACCATCCTGGGGACGAGGACGAGGTTGTTGTTGTTCTTGTTGTTGGAGAAGTTGTTATTGGGGACAAGAATATTGTTTGGGAGGCTTCAGCTACTGGACATAGACCATTATTACACCAGAGTCTAAAAACGATGCAAGCTGGTCAATCTCGGCATCTTTTTAGTTAGCATAAGTCAGATACAACCTCATGCACATACTACTCATTTCCTTCATAGTGTGATAAAGAATTGGTACGACTATTTCCTGTATATTAAAAGAACATATAGTGAATGATTATTTAGGTGGAAACATAATGTAAAAAATAAATATGCCTACTTATTGAATAATAAAAATACCTGTAAACACATTGTATTCAAACCCTTACCTCGCCACATTGCATGAGGTCGTCTATCTGTCTAACCTCAACCAAGGAAACCCGGCGTGCCTCCCATTTGAGCATTTTAGGAAGACATCCAACAACCTGTTGGTCTCCGAATCGAATACGGATGCGGAAGCGTGGGGGGATGCGGATCGTGTATAACAAAAATTTTTATAAAACCTTTGAGATACTCTATAGATTATATTAATTTATGCACAAATAAATTAATCTCATTAATTCATTTATTAAGAACTCAATTAGAAAAAATACCTGGAGGCCGACTCGGATGATAACTTGAGTTCTTTGACCTCGAACAATCCTTGCTCCAAAGCTTTGTGTTTAGAAAACCAATGTCTTCCACGTCAATTCCTAGAATCCACGAAGACGTGTGTGTGGACACACATGAGACAAAATGGGTTACAATAAACACTCGAATTTTCACAAACACCAACGCATGCACGGTGTGGAATTTTTGGAGAAATAATTTTTCCTTCCCTTGCTCTAAGAGAATTTCGGCCACCCTATTCAAATTAGGGCAAAAATTGTTTCAAAAATTGTCTCAAAAATTGTGTCCACAATTTTCTACTATTCTCTTATTTATAGAGTAGAAGTCAAACTTCTAGAAGGAATCCAATCTCTATCTCCAAGATAAAGCTTGTCAATTATCTCATATTTGAATTTGAAACAAAATCTCCCATTCCCTTATCCTTAGTGTGGCCGGCCACCTTAGGGGATTCTCATCCCTGTATGGCGCCAATTTGCAGATAAAGAAAGAAGAGAAAATCATCATTTATCCTGTAATCTAATTTTGACTCAAATTCTAATTCTAATTTAAGTCATACTTAAATTAATTTGAATTTTAAATTGAACAACTTATCAAATAAGTTTAAATGGATAAATCTAGATGTGTTCGAATTCAAATTTAAATAATCACAT